TTGAATCCATAATGTACTTCATAACCTTTACCCCGGTCAGATAAATTTCTAAGAGCCAGTAATCTGAAGAAATGGACAAGCCACTCACTGACTATTGAAGGGTGGGCTCCCAGTAGCCAAAGTGTTAGGGTGTGTTGGAGCTGGTTGGGGGAAGCGTACAAAATCTGTGTAGGGTAAGCATGGGGAGAAATACTGTGCTATACAGTGCTGGATTGTAGTGTAGTGGGCTATGTACTCAAGTGTACCCACCCTGTGTTCACAGTTCCATAGACCCAACTGTCCTTCTAAGGCAGGGACATTTCCTGAAAGCAGTGGGCTTGTGTGAAAGATCATAAGTTGGGCCCACCCACCTGAGACAAAGAAAGGGTGGCTTACATGGCAAAAAATAGTTGTGCTTTTCATTGCAATTAATATTGGGAGTGGCTTAAAGGGATGAAGAGCGCAGGAGTTCAGTAGTAGGTGACAAAAAGGTTCAAATGCTAAGTAGTAAGTTCAGTTGTCAGGAGTAAGTGATGCAAAGTTCAAGGATCAGTAGTAAGTGACACTGAATTCAGGGGTCAGGATTAAGTGGTGTGGGGTTCAGTTGGCAGGAGTAAGTGACAAAGAGTTCCGGGTTCAGTAGTAAGTGATGATTCAGTAGTAAGTGATGCAGAGTTCAGTTGGCATTAGTAAGTGATGAAGAGTTCAGGGGTCAGTAGCAAGTGACACAGAGTTCATGGGTCATCAGTAATTGATTTAGAGTTCAGGAGTTAGTAGTAAGTGACATAGAGTGCAGGGTTCAGTAGTAAGTGACACAGAGTTCAGGGGTCAGTAGTAAGTGACACAGACTTCAGGGGTCAGTAGCAATTGACACAGAGTTCAGGAGTGAGTAGTAATTAACACCGAGTTAAGGGGTGAGTAGTAAGTGATTTAGAGTTCAGTTGGTAGGAGTAAGTGACACAGAGTTCAGGGTTCATTGCAAAGTTCAGTTGGCAGGTGTAAGTAATGCAGAGTTCAGGGTTCAGTTGTAAGTGACACAGAGTTCAAGGGTCAGTAATAACTGATACAGAGTTCAGGGGTCAGTAGTAAGTGACTCAGGGTTCAGTAGTAAGTGACGCAGAATTCAGGGTTCAGTAGTAAGTAATGCAGAGTTCAGTTGGTAGGAGTAAGTGACACAGAGTTCAGGGTTCATTGCAAAGTTCAGTTGGCAGGTGTAAGTAATGCAGAGTTCAGGGGTCACTAGTAAGTGATGGATAGTTCAGGGGTCTCTAGTAAGTGATTCAGAGTTCAGGGGTCACTAGTAAGTGATGGATAGTTCAGGGGTCTCTAGTAAGTGATGCAGAGTTCAGGGGTCACTAGTAAGTGATGCAGAGTTCAGTTGGTAGGAGTAAGTGACACAGAGTTCAGTAGTAAGTGACATAGAGTTCAGTAGTAAGTGACATAGAGTGCAGGGTTCAGTAGTAAGTGACACAGAGTGCAGGGTTCAGTAGTAAGTGACACAGAGTTCAGGGGTAAGTAATAATTGATGCAGAGTTTAGGGTTCAGTAGTAAGTGACACAGAGTTCAGGGTTCAGTTGTAAGTGACGCAGAGTTCAGGGTTCAGTTGTAAGTGACGCAGAGTTCAGGGGTCAGTAATAAGTGATGCAGAGTTCAGGGGTCAGTAGTAAGTGACGCAGAGTTCAGGGTTCAGTAATAAGTGATGCAGATTTCAGAGGTCAGGAGTAAGTGATGCAGAGTTCAGGGGTCAGTACTAAGTGATACAGGGTTCAGTAGTAAGTGACGCAGAGGTCAGAAGTCATCAGAAAGTGACATAGACATATCTTTCTGAAATAAATTGCATCAAATGGACAATTTGATCATTAAATGATCTCTTTCTTTAAAAAGAGTATTTGGTCTTGTTGGAAAACCCTAAGGAATTTGGTTATAATCAGTCTCTTTTTGTTGTTATTGTGGTGCAAATGACCATTTTTAGCACCTTCATCATGAAGGTAAAGCAAATCTTAACTCTTAAACACAGTTTTGCATCTTTGACAGTTAGTAAAACTGTACCTATCATTGCAGGTACTTAGTGTGTCCAGGTGAATTATAACTTTCGTTTTTTTTTTTTCAGGACAAAGTGGCCTTTCGTTTTGTGGCAAATGGCAATAGATATCTCCTGATTTTTTTTCTTTTATGATCAAGGGAAAATTAGCCCAAAATAGTAAACAAAAAAAACATTTAACATTTTTTTCTTTATATATATTTCTTGCTATTACCATAACCTACCACCAAAGAGAAACCAAAAATAAATTCTCCTGCTCCTAACGATCACAGCGATACCATATATTTGTATGTTAGTTGTTGTTTGTACCCGTAGTAGGGCCCAGAAACAACAGTGCATAGTTTGCTTTTTTTTCTCCTACCTAAAATTCACTGTCACTTACACTAACACTAACTCACACTGATTCTAAATGATAAAATCCTACCTAAAATACACTGACAATGACCTTTTACCTGAACTCTAATTCTGACACTGACCTACCTGTAGATCAAACCCTGATGTAGCTATTTTATCTTTATATCATTTTTTTTTTTTACACACTTTTTTTTTTATTTTACAATTCTCTCCTCTAGCAAAGAGAAGAAGATGCAATGGGGGAGATTTATTAAAACTGGTGCTCTCAAAATCTGGTGCAGTTGTTCATGGTAGCTTGCTCAATTAGGCTTTACCATTGTCTCAATAAAAGCTAGCCATTCCATTTACCTGTCAAAAAACTACAATAAGAGGGCATAACATGGGAGGTAGAGGCAATGGCTAACTTTTAGCAAGCTGTACCTGCTTTTATCCTAGTTTTTTTAAACCGCTTCCTATGGAATTAAGATTTGCGGTTGCTACTTCTGGTGGTCAAACAGGCTTAATAGAGTTTGATGAAAAAGCATATGCCATTGCTAAAACAAACTGAAAAGGGCTTCTTTCTCCAACTGAAATAAATAAGATTAGGCTATTGATGCTGTATGTTAACCAAACTCATTGCGTAAGAAAAAAAATCGATTCCACACCCAAATCCCAGACTTTGAGACTGTGAACACCGTACTTTTCTGCAACACCACAAACAGCTGTAAGGCATCCCCCAAAACTTTCATTTTGTATTTGTATTTTTTCCAGTGACACCCTTGAAAAGGCCATCTCCCCATTGTACAATATCTTTTTAAAATTTGGCAATGGTACATCTTCCCTGACGGTACCAGCTTTCCATGCATTTTGTATGACAGTATTTTCATAAAATTTGTTTATTTTCCCCATAAAAGATTCAAATCGAAGAATCAAATAAAAGATCAAAATTCACCCCTATATACTTTTTTTTAAAATATCTTTTTATTAATTTTTTTATCCACAGAGAACATAGTCACAAGAACATAAAACATTGGTTGACATGTGTCCTACCCTCGCAGGGGTGGAAAAGGTCAATCACACATCCAAAGAAAATACAAAGCTGCATCAAAAGAAACTCTGAGACGCCCACATGGCTGTCGCTACCAACTAAGAAATACATGTATGAATATTATGTGTCCCATACTAGTGTACATTAAAGCCAATACCATTTCCCAAAGACCAGTAGGAAATACAGAGATAATATGAATATACAATATTACTCAGGTTATGGCATGTCAGAGGCAGTGGAGGGTTTGGCCAGCCATTTGGACCATACTCTATCATATTTTTTTGGGCATCCTCTGTGCATATAAGTATCCTTATAAAGTGGTAAATTAGCATTAATTATCCGCTTCCATGACATAACAGATGGAGGAGCAGGTTTTTTCCAGTTCAGAGTTATGACCTTTCTAGCGTAGAACCATAATAGGCTAATCAGGGTACGTTCAGCTACAGTGGGAAGGTGATCACTAACCAGACCTAACAAACACACCGACATGGAAGGTTGTAGGGGGGTCGAGGTCAACTTTCAGAAATCAGACAACACAGCACAATGCCAAAACACATGGGCAAAATCTCCTGGTGAGCCCCCACAATGCCAACATTCAGGGGAGTGTGTTGTACTCATTTTGTGAAGCCTATATGGGGTATAATAGGCCCGATGTACTATCTTGAACTGGATACCCCTATATACTGTATAGGTGTTTGTAGAAAAGCTCAAAGGTTTTCTAGCTGCAAATCAAACCCCGGCAGATTCGCTTATCTTTTATCCTGGCTGGCCCAAAGATTTCATGAGTCTTACTTTTCTTCTTGTTTTCCTCCGTGTTAGGCAATGGTTCTTACTGCTGTACTGAACAGTACTCAGATAGTAACATTTGAGTGTTGTGCAGGGTTGTAATACTCTGTGCACAGGCTGCATGATGATGCCACTGAAGGGAGTGGGTCCATGAAAGCATGGGCACAAAAGAAAGTAGTAGGAGCGTTATTCAATTTGGAATACTAGAAACATCTAGGGGTGAAAATTATGGCAGAATGTACTGCGGGAGCAACTGTTCATTGAAGGTAAGTATTGCAGAAAAAGCTTCTTTTTGGTTTATCTTTTAATGGGCTATTTATTTTTTTCTGGCTTTGTAGAGCATTACATTTACATGAATGTTACAAACAATGTGAGCTGCTTCTGCCATTGATATTCTTTTTGTTCCAAATTACATTGAGGAACAAGGGATGCTCTTCTGTAAATATACCTAATAGCACTCTGTAATGTAAACAATTCATAGTAGGTGACCTGAAGCTACTAAGAACTATGCTGATCAGCCATATGTTTATGACCACCCAATTTATATTAAGCAGGCCCCCCTTTTACTGCCAAAACAACTCCTTTTGTTGCCAAAACAGCCCTGACCCATGAAGACATGGATGCCACTAGACTTCTGAAGGTATGCTGTGGTATCTGGCACCACACCATCAGTACCAGATCCTTTTAAGTCCTATACATTTGCAAGGTGGGGCCACCATGGACCAGACTTGTTTTTCCAGCACATCTCACAGATGTCCATCAGACCAGGCCACCTTCCTCCATTGCTCCATGGTCCAGTTCATGCACATTGTAGTCACTTTTGGCAGTGGACACGGGTCAGCATGGGCACCCCGACCGGCTCGCAGCTACACAGCCCCATACACAACAAAGCGTTAATGAGCTTTAGTATGGGTGTTAGATTGGTGATAATGGGCATTAGACAGGTGTTAATGAGAGATAGTATGTGCACTAGACAGGCGTTAATGAGCTTTAGTATGGGCGTTAGACTGGCGATAATGGGTGTTAGACAGGTGTTAATGAGCTTTAGTATGGGCGTTAGACTGGCGATAATGGGTGTTAGACAGGTGTTAATGAGCTTTAGTATGGGCGTTAGACTGGTGATAATGGGCATTAGACAGGTGTTAATGAGCTTTAGTATGGGTGTTAGACAGGCAATAATGAGCTTTAGTATTGGCGTTAGACTGGCGATAATGGGCATTAGACAGGTGTTAATGAGCGTTAGTATGGGCGTTAGACAGGTGTTAATGTGCTTTAGTATGGGCGTTAGACTGGCGATAATGGGCCAGGTTTAGACAGGGATTTAATGAGGTGTTATTTAGTATGGTCCTTAGACTGGCGATAATGGGCATTAGACAGGTGTTAATGAGATTTAGTATGGGATTTAGAGAGGTGTTTTATGATGCGATGGTAATGAGCGATGGTATGGGCGTTAAAAAGGCATTAATGAGCGTTTAGTATGGGCGATAGACGGCATAATGGGCATTAGACAGGTGTTAATGAGTTTTAGTATGGACGTTAGACAGGTGTTGAATTAGATGGGCAATGGTATGGGCGTTAGACAGGCGTTAATGAGCTTTAGTATGAGCGTTAGACAGGTGTTAATGTGCTTTAGTATGGGCGTTAGATAGGCGATAATGGGCATTAGACAGGTGTTAATGAGCTTTAGTATGGGCTGGCGATAATGGGCATTAGACAGGTGATAGTTTTAGTATGGGCGTTAGACAGGTGTTAATGAGCTTTAGTATGGTCCTTAGACTGGCGATAATGGGCATTAGACAGGTGTTAATGAGTTTTAGTATGGGCGTTAGACAGGTGTTAATGAGCTTTAGTATGGGCGTTAGACTGGCTTTTTACAAGCTTTAAAAATGTTCCCCAAATGCCCTGTTTTGAAACGCAGCCATTTTGAAGCGTTCTATAAGTGTTTGACAAGCTTTAAAACCACACCACAAACGAAATAAACTGTAATGTTATTATGTGACCTCCTGTTGTGGTGAGGAGCCAACATATCGCTTCCCCCCACCATCTTGCTTTGCAGAGGAACAGTAGTGCTAACTGCACTTGCGAATGAGCCCTTAGTTGCATTTTACAACAGCACCCTTAGGATTCATTCACATGTAAAGTTGGGGGGGGGGGTGGTAAAACCCTGCAGTTGAGTCAGGGTTTTACTACCTCCAGTCACTACCCCCTTTAGCTGCTGAGGCAGCAGCCAAAGGTTTACACATGCTGCAGCAGGAATTAACCCCCTGTTGCTTTTGGTGGTTGCTACTGCCTGCCAGTCGAGACCCATTCAAATAAATGGGGCCACTCTGCAAGCACCCTGTAACTGCATGCTTCTGTGGGGCCCAAGGGGTTAAAGCAAGTGGTGATAAAGCAACACAACGCTGCCTGCTTTAACCCGTTTTTTTGCTGTACTGCACAAGGTTGTAGGGCAATTGCAGAGCGGCATCATTTACTTGAATGGGTCATGCTTGGCAGGCGTTACACCCACCAACCACAACAGGGCATATATCTCCTGCTGCAGCTGCGACGTGTGTACACCCCTGGCCACTGCAGCTAAAGGGGGTGCGGTTAGGATGGGGGTGGTAAAAACATTTTTCTGAACTATGGGGTTTTACCACTCCCCAAACTGCAAATGTAAATGAACCCTTACTGTTCTGAGCATCCTATAAGGTTGCTTTCACATTGGTGTGCTGCGCTTTACCTGCACCATGAGTGTAACACACTGCATCTGCGACTTTCCTGGGTTAGCTGCACTTTGTCATAGACTTCTATTATATCCTGCAGCTGTGGTGCACTTTCTGAAAGCACACCAAAAACTCGTGCATTCAGGAGTTTCAGTTCGCCTTTAGAAAGTGCAGGATATAATAGAAGTCTATTGCTAAGCGCAGCAAACCCGCAGGAAAGTTGCAGGTACACTGCATTGCACCCGCGGTGTGGGTATACCACAGCACATCAGTGTGAAAGCAGCCTTATAATATTAATCCCAGTGTATTGCTTCACACTGACCTGAGGATGGAGATGGATACAGAGGAGGCATTGGCTTATGCGGCTCCTGCTCCTTACTACAGCTCCAACTTTACAAGTACTCAGGGGTGGACTGACAACTCATGGGGCCCCCAGGCAATAGGGGATCATGGGGCCCTTGTGTCCTTGCCCAAACTCAAAAAAGCCTATGAAAAAGGTACCACTGGCATCTCATGGGGCCCCCTACTGACCCCCGGGCCCTCGGGCAGTGCCGAGTTTCCAAATGGTCAGTCCGCCCCTGCAAGTACTCCCTCTGCATTGCACTGCGTTGCTCTGGGATGGTGGGCCAGCAAACCCAGACCGCGATCTACCAGTCACTTGGCTGTGATCTACGTGTTGATGTCCCTTGCGGTAAACAGATTCTCTTTAAAAAAATTGACACATACATGAATAACAAAAGTTTAAATTTATTTTATTGTTCTGTTTTTTATTTTTTAAATCAGCACTTCAAAAGCTCTATCACTGACATAGCATTATGACTTAGCTATAACTCCTTTTTTGTGTTTGTGTTTTGAATTCAGTGTTAAAATAGTAACATAAGCATACTCAGAAAACTGAAATAAACTGCTATCATGGGAAACACTTGGATTGGGATTCCCCTCTTCTAACAGAAAACACAAGAATAAAATTCCCACTGGCAATCTTCTGATTTCTAACCTATTATTGTTAATATTCTTCAGGATTTATGTACCTCCCAACTGTCCCTCAATTGAAACTAAATTCCTTTGTCCCTCTTTCCTCTTCTAATGTTCCTCTTTTTGGTTTAATGTATAAAGCTCTACATAAAATGTACTTTTTAACTCTCAACACTAAACCTTTCAATTAAAGTATAAACTCTTACAATAGATTTCTCTTATTTGCTCTTTTTTTGGTCTGTTATAATATTAAAAATAATTTTTTAAAATATTGGTTAAAAGGATAAGTTCATCGTTTAAAACAAAAAAAAATAATAATGCACATTTTTTTGCAGGTAAAAAATGTGCATTTATTATTTTTTATTTCTGGAGCCTCTAAAGCATTGCACCAGTGATCAGCAGATCCTTGGTAAAATGCAGGTCTCCCCCTGACCTATCTGTATATCTGCTTACTTGTACATCCAGTATGGGTAAGCTGATACTGACAGGAAGGCTCAATGAACTACCACAGCTCTGTGAAATGCAATGGTAGTTCATTGAAAACTACAAGCTGAAAGCCACAAAGGCTGTCGGAACATAGTTTTCCCATTCACAGAATACTGCGAATGTGTGACGTGGGTGGAGCCCCACACACAGCATTTTTTTTTAATTGTGACAGCTAGTGGGGAGGTGAAGATCCCCCCGAAAGCTGTTACAGCGGGGATCGGAGGATGCACGGGCCGGTCCAATTTTAGCATGTTACACTGTCAGGAATGGACTGGCCAGCAATGGTGGGACTCACCTGCCTTTTTGATCTGCAGTACCAGGGCTGGCCAGCGGGTGCTCCCAGCAATCAGAGACTCAACCTTTCAGCCAGCTAACACCTGGAACTGATGATACTGGTGTATTTAAGGGATGGCCAGACTTGCAGACTCTGCCTTGGTGTTGTGTTTGTTCTGGGCCCTGTATCTGTCCTGCATCCGTCCTGCATCCTGTTTCTGTTCCTTTGCTGACCCTGCCTGATCTGAACCGCTGCTGACTTCTCCTGCTCTGATCCCCGGCTCGCTCCTGACCATCCCTCTGCCTGACCCTCTGTACCACGCTGCTTGCTACCTGTTCTGATCCCTGGCTTGTGACCCTGACCATCCCCTCTGCCTGACCCTCTGTACCACGCTGCTTGCTACCTGTTCTGATCCCTGGCTTGTGACCCTGACCATCCCTCTGCCTGACCCTCTGTACTACGCTGCTAGCTACCTGCTGAACCTGGCCCTGTGACCCCGACCCATCTCCGCTTGCTCCCCCTGTACCTACCTGCCCTATTGATATTGTTCCGGCCTGCTGACGACGCTTGCTTGTAAACACCCCCTTTGCACTGTATTTATGTTTTAGTATTGCACTGCGTTTTATGTTTGTATGGTTAGTGTTAATAAATTATATTGTTTATCACATATCTGAAGTCTGCGTTTCCCTGCGTCAGTCACACACCTCTGGTCACACCTGGGAGCCCTGACATACACCCTGAATATGGGAGTAACATGTAGCATGTTACGAAAGGTGAACTAATCCTTTAAACACACAAATCTTGTGAGCTGATAACTTCCTATAGTTCTGGACTGTTATCAGTGCTCCCTGTGCTCTCCATGGACTACAAAACACCCCCTTTATGTTGTGGAGGGAGGTGTCATGGAGTCCTAACACACTCCCTGTCCTAGGATGACAACGCTGCTCAGTACTGTTGACACCCTAGGATAGAAAGTATATTATAGTGATATTATATATTATAGTGATAGTAAAGCTTTGTTTTTGTTTTTTAATAAAAATAATAAACATGCCATACTTACCTGCTCTGTGCAATGGTTTTGCCCACAGCAGACACTATCCTCCCCTGCCCCCATAGGAAACCGCTTTTTTACTCAGGTAACACCAGAGATCAGATGGACCGTAGGTCTGAGACGCTGTTGCGTAGAGCCTGGGATGCCAATGGCACTACTATGGCCCCAGCCCTGGAATCCGCCTGCATCGCTAGAAATGCGGACACTTGGATGCATAGGGTAATGGACCACATCTCTCGGGGTACCCAAAAAAAGGGAAAGCCCAGTTGGAAGAGGTGTTGGATTCCCTGGAGGTAGTTGGTAAGGCAGTAGCCTACCTAGCAGATGGAGATGGTCAGAACATCGGCTAAGACCACAGCTCTTCTTAACTCAGTCCAGAGGGCAGTATGGCTTAAAACCTGGGAGATGTCAATAGCCCATCCCAGTTTGCCCTTTGAGTGTTCCTTTCTGTTCGGCCCCAGGTGTTATTGAGGTTTGCCGAAAAGGGGAAGAAGTTCCCTGTCAAGACCAAAAAGGATAAGGGTAAGAAGTTTTTTAATGCCCCCCTTAATCATGGCCAACAAAGATTTAGGCAGGATTCCGCCACGAAATGAGCCAACAAAGGGAGACAGGCTGACTCCAAACCCACCAGTAAGGACCCTAAATTACATAGATTTCAGGGTGGGTGGAAGGCTGTCCAGATTCCTTCAGCAATGGGGGAAGAGCCCATACATCCTGCAG